CGGGCGACCGCAGCCGATCGGAGCCAATCCAAACACCATCGGGCCGGCCGGCAGACAGCCGTCGACAGCGTCTGATGGGGTCGCTGACACGGGTCAGCCAGGCAGTCAGGTGGCAAGGGTCAGCTGCGGCACTCAGGTGTCACGAGGTGATGACATGGGTCTCGGGTCAGCCAGGCAGTCAGGTGGCACGAGGTGATGACACGGGCCAGCTGCAGGCATTCGGGTCACATGGGGTCAGCTTGGCAGTCGGGTGACACGGGGTGATGACAAGGGTTAGCTGGACAGTCAGGTGGCAAGGGTCAGCTGGGTAGTCGGGTGGAGTTGATGACACGGGTCAGCTGGTAGTCAGGAGGTCACGACACCGACACGCATCAGTTGGCCAGTCACGGGTTCACGACACGTGTCAGCTGGCAGTCACGGGGTGAGACATGGGGTGGCAGCTCGGTGTCACGGGTAGCAATGTGGCATCCTGAACACTTGAACAGGCTTTCTCAGGTGTCAGTCGATGGTTGTGGAATGAAAGGGGTCGGGGACGATTTCATGCTGTCGGAAAATAGCGTCGCCTACCTGCGTAAACGAGCGACGAGATCCGACTCCGCTCATTGACTGGGGACCATTTGGAGAGCAGGACGTGAGTCGCCGGCAGAGTCACTCCCTGTGAACAGTGGCAGACGATAAGTAGGAACGTGATATAAAACAATGCCAATTTGAAGAAAAAATGCCGTCTCACATGTGGTAAGTCCAACAATTTTTACTAAACATAACGTCTTAAGAAAAAAAAATGTTAAAAGGTCAACTTGATAGTGCACTTGTCAAAACAGTCAAATGCGCCTGTATCGAGTCATGGTCACTCATATTGCCATCTACAATACAAGTCACAGACCACCCCAAACCGCCATCCACCGCTCTACTCACTCCGACCATGCCCTGGAGGATGCGGATGGCGAGCAGGTATCCCCAGCCGAGCCAGGCGGCCGGCGGGGTCAGCAGCGCCAGCAACACGTTCAGGAACACCGAGACGCCGAACGTCCACTTGGCGGAGAGCAGCTCGGCCAGCCGGCCACCCAGCACCTGGGTCACCAGGTAGCCGTAAAAGTAGGAGCCCAGTAGCACACCCTGGATGATGGCGTCCCACGTGAACGGGCCCTGGCGGGAGAGAAAAACGGGTCAGGTGGAGCGAGAGATCGAGGTAGGAGAGAGTGAGGTCGGCTTCGTGAATCATGGTGAGAAAATGCTGATGCAGTCTGACAAATTTTGTGTTATAATCATAAATCAGTCAACAGATTGAATCCAAAATAAAGCTTATCGATAATAAGGCACGACTAAAAACTTAGCGTGCCTGATACCATAGACAGAAAAAGTAAATAAAACGCTATCGGTATTGTTATACAGCGCACATAATCGTAACGTCGCATAATTCTCAAGGCACCGCTCTCAGCGCGCACTCACGTCCACCAGGTTGGAGCCGGCCTCTGTGTCGTTGTGGCCTGGCTCGGCGCATTCGCTGGCGGCCGAGTGGGCCGAACTGGCGTGTCCCGAGGCGTTGCCGGCAGCGCGCACCGCCGTGTGGTTGATCATGGTGACGATACAGACGTGGAAGTTGACCTTGAGGCCGTAGGTGATGGACATGCCGATACAGCCGAGCACGGCAAACACGTACCGCTGCGCCACATGACCTGCAGAGGAGAGGTCAGGGTAATGACTAATGTCACTTTCAGGGAAATAGCTGGGCTCATAGCTTGCCTCTCTGATGTGGCACATGACCTGGGGACAAGAAGTCAGGGTAGCGTCAATGGGCTGGAAAGCGGCGGGGTACATGATCTGGGAGAGGAGAGGAGGTCAAGGTAAGGACGATGAACTGCAGATCTGCCGGGTATATGACCTGCCGTTTTGCTGCGCCACACATGAGCTATAGGGGAGGAGAGGTCAGGCAAGGTCACTGGGAGTAGCTGCGGCACATGGCGTTCTGCTGTGGCACATGCTCTAGGAGAGGAGAGGTCACGGAGAGGTCAGTGGGCTAGGGATCTTTACTTATCGAGGCGGGATCTTATGTCAGCGCTGATCTACAAAACGGCTATAGGAATAGTAACTAGACTCTGCAACGTGGCACATGAAGATCGAAGTTTATACCAAAATGACCCGAACGAATATTGACCGAAGGAATTCCATCCTCCCGGAAGGCGATTTCAGCACGTGTGCCGATCGCACCTTTCAGCTCATGAATCACAATGTCCGGGTGCACGTCTCACGGGACAGGCAGCTGAATGTAACACTAGCCGCAGCCATCCGGCATGTTCCATTGATTTCCGCTGGTACGATTCCACGGGTGATCCACGGACGATCCACGGACGGCCCACGGACGACAGCCTACCGCACGATCCGCGGGGCACGGACAGACGACTGTACCGTGGCTGTGTAACCAACCGCTTTGCGTGACCATCGCACTATTTCTCACTGTATTTACGGGGCAGCAAAGGTATGCGTCCGTTGACTCCTGGCTGCCAGCGGAGCTGACAGCCAGGTGGCAGCTGTCAGGTGACTGGGTGAAGGTCGCCAATAACTGTCACTAAGTGACAGACAGTAGATTGAATCGTCAGCCGACAACTAATGAGATGTTTTAGCGTCTTGTGTATGGCGGCGAGGCGTACCGATATGGCCTGCTTTACCAACATGCGCAGACGATGCTATACCTACACCATGCACTGTGCGCGCAAGCATCAATATACCTAAATAAATTTACTGATTTTAGGGTTTGTCTCAAGGGGACAACAAAATAGATAAATGTTTCTTTTCCACTTAACCCTCGCCGTCACAGGGGGGGGGGGGGTGATGCAACCTCCCCCCAAAGGTTTTTCGCGAATAACTCGCGTAAAAAGCGGCCGATCGCGACGAAACTTTCAGTATCCTCGCACTGATCAATTTTACACCTACCCTGAAAATTTCATGATCCTGACCCAAAAGACCTTTGACCTGTGACCTCTTTTCCGAGACCATGTTTGGCCGGAATCACGATTCGGCGTATGTCGGCTCGCATTAGCCGCGCGTTTGCAGTCTTCGTGGTTTCAAGCATTCAAGCATTCAAACATGTTGGTCCCATGCATTAGGGTGGGTGCAAAAGGTCACTTGAAGCTCAGGTCAGGTCACTGACCTTTGATGACCTCGGTTAAATTTTTCGAGTTTTACATGCTTCTAGGCTAGTTTTTGGAGCTTAATTCGAATTTAGCAACTATTTGAACATTTACAAAATATTTTTGGTGCCTTCGTAACATGTTACGAAGCGGTCAGAGGCGAATGGCAGCTGACACGTAGGTACTACGAATACCCGACAGGACTCCTGTTGGTTGACCTGACCTGAGCTGACGCAACCTGGCCTAAATGCATGAAGACATCATCTGTGATCAAAACTAGCATGATATTCGTCATCAGCACCCCGAAAAAAAACCTATAACAGCCGCACTTTTTGACAGACCAACAGGTCCCGATTTCCCCGACTTTTGGGTCATTGACCTGACCTGGAAGGTCAACCAATGACCTAGGACCTTGAAGCTGGGTATCATCGGTTTCCTCTCGTCACGGGCAACACACTTGCTTTTCCGTGAAGCTCTACATAGCTCGATCAGGGGCCAAACGGCAAGTGGGGAGGGGTCCAACGGAGGGGGTTAACCCTCGCATGTGTGCGGCGTTTGCCAGCTTCTAATGTGTAGGGGGGGGGTTCGGTTGGACCCCCCTTGCCGTTTGGCCCCTGATCGAGCTAGAGCTTCGCGGAAAAAACGAGCGTGTTGCCCGTGACGAGAGGAAGCCGATGATCCCCAATTTTAAGGTCCTAGGTCATTGGTTGACCTTCCAGGTCAGGTCAATGACCCAAAGTCGGGAAAATCGGGACCTGTTAGAAAGTCGTACCCAGCCAGCCTTCCCAAATGGGGCCCATATGGGCTGAAAGTGGGGCATCTGGGCTTAAGTGGGCATGGGCTACATGTGGGCTATTATCTGGGCTAAATCTGGGTCCCATATGGGCTGAGCCCCAGCAAACATGCCCACATGGGTCCCATATGGGGTGAACATGGGCCAGATGGGCCCACGTGGGACATGGGCTACAGATGGGCTACCCACATGGGCCCCATATGGGATAAAAATGGGCCAGGTGGGCAAAACGCATGTGGGCTGGAGATGGGCATCCCATGTGGGTCCCATATGGGGTGAACATGGGCCAGATGGGCCCACGTGGGACATGGGCTACAGATGGGCTACCCATATGGGCCCCATAGGGGATAAAAATGCCAAACGCATGTGGGCTGGAGATGGGCATCCCATGTGGGTCCCATATGGGGTGAACATGGGCCAGATGGGCTCACGTGGGACATGGGCTACAGATGGGCAACCCATATGGGCCCCATATGGGATAAAAATGGGCCAGGTGGGCCAAACGCATGTGGGCTGGAGATGGGCATTGGGCATCCCATGTGGGTCCCATATGGATCACCCATGTAGGCCCCATTTAAGTTACTCCAAGAGCATAAAAGCAAAAAAGGTGACTGTTGTTCATGTGAATTTTGGACTCCAAGTACATCAAGTTCATACATGATGCCATATGGGGTCAATGTAGGCTGGCCCATATGGGTCCCTGATGTGGGGGCCGCGTGGGTCTCATATGGGGCCTACGTGGGCTTGCCCATATGGGTCCCATGTGTCACCCACTGCTATTCCCATGTGGGGCCCATATGGAAGAGGTGGGGGGCCATGTGGGCCCCATATGGGAACCATGTGGGCATGTTTGCTGGGATATGGACATTTCCTTTACTACAAAATGTTGGTATCTGACCCGGCACCTATCTGGGCTGGATGCGGGCAGCATGTGGGCAAACTGGGCACCAACAAGCTGGGCACACCCATCCGGGGCCCACATGGGGCCCTGTCACCGTTAGCCGTTAAAAAATATGAAACTTAATGCCGCAAATGCACTTTCGAAATCAATGTTTATTTTGGTACAGGCTTGATCCACTTCGCTTCTTGATCGAAATGAAAAACACCGTTCCAAAAGTCGCACATTGCGGCTAACGAGAGAAAATAAACTAAGAAATAAGTTGAAACATAAAGATAAACCTTTCTTGAATGTCACTTTGACACTTGTTAATCAGTGAATGCATCGTCCTTGGCTTTGCATATTTACTTTCACTGTTTCAGAATGAGCTATAATAATGACCCCGTTTCAATCAGTTTCTCATCCAAAAGCCCCCTTTTCCTTAATTTTCTAAGCACAAAAATATGACAACAATTTCGTTGCTAGGCAACAAACGCACAGTACCCCCCGGTCGCGACATCCTCCCCCACCAGTGTTCACAAGGGGGAACACGAAACATGTCACTCGCGATACAGGCCACACGTTCCTGACACCCCTCGGTGTCTTTCACTCTGCACTTAACGACCACACCGTGTCAGCTCTGAGCACTAACGGCCCATGCCGATTCTGTCACGGCTCGCGTTGACCTTACGCAGGTCACAAATGTGGGTGCTAGCCACGCGGATCATTATCAATGTCTTCGAACACAGAACGTACCCCCTCCATCAAGATCAACATTACTTTCACGGTTCGTCTCACATGAGCATCACATATTGGGCCAGTTGGCCGTGCACCCCGTCGCACGGATTCTCCGATGATTCCGATTTAGAGGCTTAGTTGAGACTCTCCAAGAGACACAACTTCGTTGTCGGGCGAACATACGTCCCACTCTTTGTCTTCACTTCCGCTGATCTGACTCCTCCGTCAGAGCCTGGGTAGACTCTTGTGATGCGTCCCAATTCCCAGTATCCTCTAGGACTCTGACTGTTGACGACCAAAACTACGTCGTCTATCTGCAGATTCTTCTTCTCTGTCTTCCATTTCTGTCTGTTTATCAGCGTAGGAAGGTACTCCTTGAGCCACCTTTTCCACAGATGTTCAGCGAGGATCTGTACTTGTTGCCATCTCCTCCGTCCAACAACATCAGCATCAGCATCATTGAATACCCCTGGCGGTAGTCCTTCTCTTCCATCAGATGAGCCCAACAAGAAGTGGTTGGGCGTAAGAGGTTCGGGGTCTTGAGGATCACTGCTAATGTAGGTCAGAGGACGGCCGTTGATCATGAATTCGACCTCCGCTAGGGTCGTCTGAAGAACGTCCTCCGAGACGCATTTGTTTCCTAGAACCACTTTGAGGGAGCGCTTCACCGAGGCGATCAGACGCTCCCATGCACCGCCCATATGCGGGGCGGCTGGCGGGATGAACACCCACTGGATGTTTCTCTGACTCAAAGCATCGGATATCTGTGCCTGATTCCAATGTTCGATGGCTTCTCGCAGTTCTCTTTCGCCTCCGACTAGATTAGTGCCATTGTCCGAGTAGATAGTTCGAGGTCTACCTCTTCGTGCGATAAAGCGGCGCAGTGCCATGATGAAGCTACTGGTGTCCATCAAAGCAGCTAGCTCCAAATGGATGGCCCGAGTGGCGAGACATGTGATCAGCAGCACATATCTCTTTTCTGTCTTTCGAAACTTCTTCACCGTCAGAGGTCCGAAAAAGTCGAGTCCGACTGTGCTGAACGGACGTCTCATGTCTAGACGGGCCTCTGGCAAGTCTGCCATCCTGGGTGGCTGAGGCGAGGCGCGGCGGTTACGGCAGAATGCACACTTCCACAGGTGCTTCTTCACAGCTGACCGCATCCGTTGCACCCAGTACTTCGATCTCAGCTCACAAAGTGTTCTTTCCAATCCCCAATGCATGACTCGCTGATGTGCATCGACAATGACCAGTCTGGTGATCTCACTCTTGGCGTCAAGAATGACGGGGTGTTTCGTGTACTCGTCTAACGAAGTCTTGCTCAGGCGCCCACCAACTCTCATGAGGCCGTGTTGATCTCGGAATGGAGACAGGTGGTCGAGACTAGCTTGTTTCATGCAGGTTTCTTGATCGTCCTTTATTATGCTGATTTCAGCCGCATCAATTTCTGCGCTGCGTAGTGGACCATCAATGACTTCTGTGCCAGCAACCTTGCTCTTCACGTTGCTGATGAATCGCCTTATCCATGCGACAATGCGTCTGTAACGAGTCCATGAAGAGAACTGTGGTGTCGCGAGCTGCTCCCCCCCTGCCCCGGGGCCTGGCGACGCCAGTTGCTCCCCCCCTGCCCGGGGGCCTGGCGACGCCATTGGCGGCGCCGGCGCGCAGACGCGGGGTTCGAGAGCAGTCGGCCGCCGGCCCGCGCGGAGCGCGGTTGTGGTAGTAGCGATCGGTGTTTGACGCTCTAGGAAGTCTAACGCAATGCGGCTTTGGTTGTGAATAAAGAGCTCACGTTATAACATCCTGGCGACGAGGATCAGATCAAGGTGAAGCCTTGGAGCTGTGATTGCGAGTGATGGCGAAACGGGCCAGTGATCAGTGCGCGGTGGTCAGCGAGGGCGGACAGGCCACGGACGGTGAGGGCGCAAACGTTGCTTAGTACGAATGCTTAGTGCTTAGTATTGCTTAGTATTTTTATTTTCGCGCTGCTGCTGGTAGTGTGCCTGTCGCGCGGCGGCCGTTGTCCTGGCAGGGTTTCCCATGTGATCGCCGAAATTCGTGGCGGCCATGATGCCTCGGCAGTGTGGTGTGCGTGGCGCATGCGTCGGCGTCCTGCACGCTGATTGGTCGGCCGGGGGTGACGCGCAGCTGTGGTAGCGCGTGTGATTGGCCGATCGGTGCGGCGGAGAGGGCCTCAATGCGGTTTGAGGCGCCCGGTCCCCGAAGCGGGCAATTTCGGCGGGAAGCTGGCGCGCGGCCGGGCGGTGTGGGGCGAGTGCGCATGCGCGCGCGGTGACGTGCGTGTGACGTCACTACCACGTGACGCCCCCGTCGAGAAAAGCGCGGGAAACCGCAGCTGCAGCGCCAAGTACAGGCGCAGGGCGGCGCGGTGAGCGGTGACCGGTCGGCGTGAGCGGTGGCCGACCGGCGTGTGCGGTGACCGACCGGCGTGTGCGGTGACCGGCCGGTGTGAGCGGTGACCGGCCGGTGTGAGCGGTGACGCCCGGCTGCGGGCCGACCGGTGGAGCGGCTGCGGGCCGCCGGTGGAGCGGCTGCGGGCCGACGGTGGAGCGGCCGCGGGCCGACGGTGGAGCGGCTGCGGGCCGACGGTGGAGCGGCGGCGAGCCGACCGGAGAAACGACGTGCTGGTGAGAGGGCGGCGGCACGATGGATCCAACGGGGATGCAGATAGTGTCTGCGGTGCCGTACCGTCCAGGCACGGACTTTGAAAAGTGGCTCCGGGCATTGGAGCGGTATATGATCGCTGTTGACATTCAAGGGCCTGCGAGACGGTGTGCAGTCCTGTTGCACCTGGTGGGCCCGGACCTCGCCGATGTCAGCGATTCACTGCCTGAGGAGGACGCCGAGAGACAGGGAGAAGACGAGTTTGCTCGCCTGAAAAGGAAGCTAACACGGTATCTGGTGCCGAAGAATAATGTGGTGGCGGAAAGAGGAAAGTTTCAAGGGATGAAAATGGAGCAGGAAGAGAGTCTGGAGGAGTTCCTGGGCAGACTACGGACGCAAATCCTGCGCTGCGGCTACGAGCCGGCGCAGGTGGACCGTGAGTTGAGAGACCGATGCGTCCTGGGCAGCCGAGGTGAGCTACAGAGGAAGCTGGTCCGGGAGGCGGCGCTAAAGGGTGACGACCTCTCTCTGGAGGACGTCCGGCGGACGGCACGGGCGCACAGGGACGTGATGGATCTGACGACGCGGCTGTCAGGGGCGCCGGCGCCGGCCGAGACGGACGGGGAGGCAGTTCACCTGGTGCGACGCCCGCAGCGGACGGAGAGGGTCAGGCCGACCGAGCCCCCGGGGCCAGGCACGTGCTTCCGCTGTGGCGGCCGGGGCCACTGGCGGCGCCACTGTCCCAGCGCGCAGTCGCGGCAGGCCGGCGCGCGGCCCCGGCAGGACGGTGCGCAGCCGCGGCAGGACAGCGGGCAGCCACGGCAGGACAGCGGGCAGCCGCGGCAGGCCGGCGCGCGGCCATGGCGGGCCGGCGCGCCGCGCTGCTATCGGTGCGGAGAGCGTGGGCATCTGCAGCGTGACTGCGGCAAACAGCGAACTGGCGTGAAGCTGGTTCAGGACGGCGACCAGGCTGACTGGCGAGTCAGCGCCGTGCAGCCTGCCGCAGCTGAGTGGGCGACGGTCAGGGTGAACGGCCAGGAGTTCACCATGCTGATCGACACTGGCTCACCGGTGACTATAATCAGCGCGGAGACTCACATCCCCGGTCTGACGCTGCGGCCGAGTGAGCTGCACCTCACGTCATTCACCGGCCAGCAAATCCGTCTGCGAGGCGAGGCCGACGTCAACGTGGAGACGGACGGCCGAGCGACACGGCTGCGACTCGTCGTGTCCGACATGGGCTCTCACCGACCTCTCATGGGACGAGAGTGGATCAAGGCGCTGAGGACGGCGTCGGGTCTGGAGACGCTGAACGTGTGCCCGGTGGCGACTCAGCCGACGCTGAAGGAGGTGATGGACAAACACCGTGAGGTGTTCAAAGAAGAACTGGGCAGAATCCCGGTGAAGGTGGCGCTCAGACTGAAGGAAGGCGCCAAACCGGTCTATCGACGCGCCAGACCGGTGCCGTTTGCGCTACAGCAAGATATCGAGCGGGAGCTCGACAAGTGGCTGGATCAAGGGATCGCCGAGAAGGTGCCTCCTGGACACTTCTCCGGATGGGGTACGCCGCTCGTACCCATCCCCAAGAAGGACGGCGTGCGGCTGTGCGCGGACTATCGGATCACGGTGAACCCGCAGCTGCAGCCTCTGAAGTATCCGATGCGCACGCCGGAGGAGCTATTCGCCAGCATACGAGGGAAAAAGTTCTGCAAGCTGGACTGCAGGAACGCCTATCTCCAGTGTGAGCTGGACGAAGAGAGCCGAGAGATGACCACCGTGACCACACACCGTGGTGCGATGCGGATGAACCGTCTCCCGTACGGGATCAGCACCTGTGGAGCGCAGTTCCAGGCGATCATGGACCAGGTGCTGGATGGTCTTCCAGGAGTCGTCTGTTACCTGGACGACGTGCTGATCGGCGCCGACAGTGACCGTGAGCTGATGGACAGGCTGGACCGGGTGCTGGAGCGGCTGAAGGACAACGGCGTCCGCCTCAAGAAAGAGAAGTGCCAGTTCGGAGTCCGAGAAGTGGTGTATCTCGGTTGGCGACTGTCTGAGGCGGGTCTGCGCCCGGTGCAAGAGAAGACGGCGGCCGTCACAGCAGCACCCGACCCTCGGAACGTGCAGGAGCTGCGATCTCTGATCGGGTCAGTCAGCTATTATCAGCGGCTGCTGCCCAACCTGTCTACCGTGCTAGCGCCGCTCTACGCGCTACTGAAGACGGGCGTCAAATGGGCATGGACGGCGGAGTGCGCCGCGGCAGTGCGCCGTGTGAAGGACATGCTGTCCACGGCGCCGGTCCTGATGCGGTACGACCCCGTGCTGCCGCTGCGGCTCGTCACGGACGCCAGTGCGACAGGAGTCGGAGCGGCTCTGATGCAAGTGACGCCCGAGGGGCTCGAGAGGCCGGTACAGTACGCCTCCCGAACGCTCACTCCGACGGAGAGGAAGTACGCCCAAGTGGAGAGGGAAGCCGCAGCCGTCTCGTTCGGAGTGCGGCGGTTCCACCAGTTCCTGTTTGGTCGGCCGTTCACCCTGGTGGTCGACAACAGGACGCTCTCCAGGATCCTAAACCCGGACCGTGAGCTGCCATCTCTGGCGGCGGCTCGCATGCAAAGGTATGCGCTGCAGCTCGCGGCGTATCAGTACAAGATCGAGCTGCGCCGGACGGAGGACATGAGGCTGGCGGACACGATGTCCCGTCTGTCGGTGCCGGACGAGGCGGAGAACCGGCTGTCGGCAGAAGAGGAGGCGGCGTACGGCGGAGGCGGCGTAATGTTCATCGCCGAGCAGGGGCCGTGTCTGACCGCGCAGCAGATAGCAGTGGCCACGCGCCGAGACCCGGCGCTCGCCCGCGCTCTGGCGGCGGTGCGATCGGGCTGGCCGGCGGTGGTGGACCCGGACCTGGCTCCCTTCAAGAATCGCCGAGAGGAGCTGACGACTGAGGCCGACTGTCTGCTCTGGGGCGGCCGAGTCGTCATCCCGAGCAGCCTGCGCGACACCGTCAAGCGGGAGCTGCATGAGGGTCACTTCGGCTGCACTCGCATGAAGCAGCTGGCGAGGCGCTTTGTGTGGTGGCCGGGACTCGATGCTGAGCTGGAGGCGCTGGCTCGCGGGTGTCAGGCGTGCGTCTCAAAGCGAGCTGAGCCGCCGCAGGCGACACGGCACCCGTGGGAGCCGACGGACGGCCCGTGGCAGCGGGTGCATGCCGATTTTGCCGGACCTCTGAAGGGCACCTGGTTCCTGGTGATGGTGGATAGTTTCTCCAAGTGGGCTGAAATGATCCCAATGAAGACGACCACGTCCGAGCGGACCGTAGCGGTGATGAGGACGGTTTTTGCTCGTCTCGGACTACCACTGGTGCTGGTAACGGACAATGGCCCACAGTTCACGAGCCAGGAATTCGCCCAGTTCGCCAGCTCTAACGGGATCCGACATGTCAGAGTGGCGCCCCATCACCCATCGTCTAATGGGATGGCGGAGCGAGCGGTCGGCTCGCTAAAAAACTCACTGAAGGCGACTCTGGCAGCAGACGACAGCGGAGGCATGGAACTGGCGCTCGCCCGAGTTCTGATGGCGTACAGAGTGACGCCCCACGCCGCGACCGCACGGACTCCCGCTGAGATGCTGTTCGGGCGGAACCTCCGCACTCGTATGAACCTCATGGTTCCGAGCGCCGAGACAGCTCTGCAGGCGGCTCGGGACCGGCAGCGTGAGACGGCCGGCGGACGGAGCAGGGAATTCGCCGTGGGAGCTACAGTGTGGGCCCGCTCGTACGACGGTCGTCAGAAGTGGGTCCGCGGCACGGTGGTCGCCCGCCCCGGTCCCGTGTCGTATGAAGTGGACGTGGGACACGTGATCTGGTCGCGCCACGTTGACCAGCTGTTGGCGGCGGCGGCGGACCCAGGGAACAGCGCCGGCGGTGACGTCAGAGCGGCCACCGGCGGTAGTGTCCGAGCGGCGACCAGTGGTGACGTCAGAGCGACGACCGGCGGTGACGTCAGAGCGACGACCGGTGGTGACGTCAGAGCGACGACCGGCGGTGACGTCAGAGCGACGACCGGCGGTGACGTCAGAGCGACGACCGGCGGTGACGTCAGAGCGACGACCGGCGGTGACGTCAGAGCGACGACCGGCGGTGACCGGGCTGGTGGCGCCGGCGGCAGCGCCGGGCGCCCTGTCGGAGACGATCGCGCCAATGGCCTCGGTGACGGCAGCCGCGCCGGCGTCGCCGGTCAGGCCTGTGACCGGGGAGCAGTCGGCCTCGGCCGTGCCGGTGATCTCGGCGGCGGCGGGGATGCCGGTGACCCCGGTGGCTACGGCCGTGCTGGTGACCCCGGCGGCGGCGGTAGTGCCGGTGACCTCAGCGGCGGCGGTGATGCCGTCAGCAGCGGCGGTAGTGCCGGTGACCTCGGCGGCGGCGGTGATACCGGTGACCTCAGCGGCTACAGTCACACCGGCGGTGGCGGTGACGGCGGCGGCAGGGGCGGCGGGGACACTGAGGGCCCCTCGCAACGCCGTTCCGCTCGGCGCCGGAGGTGCCCGAGGCGACTGATCGCCGAGGTTTAAAATGTGTTTGTTTCCACGTTCCGACGCGTAATGTGTTTGTTTCCACGTTCCGACGCGTAATGTGTTTGTTTCCACGTTCCGGTTTAAAATGTGTTCCGTTTTAAGGGCGGCAGGTTAAAGTGAATGTGTTCCGTTTTAAGGGCGGCAGGGTGTGGTGTCGCGAGCTGCTCCCCCCCTGCCCCGGGGCCTGGCGACGCCAGTTGCTCCCCCCCTGCCCGGGGGCCTGGCGACGCCATTGGCGGCGCCGGCGCGCAGACGCGGGGTTCGAGAGCAGTCGGCCGCCGGCCCGCGCGGAGCGCGGTTGTGGTAGTAGCGATCGGTGTTTGACGCTCTAGGAAGTCTAACGCAATGCGGCTTTGGTTGTGAATAAAGAGCTCACGTTATAACAAGAACCGCGCCGGGTCTATGAGCTGGGACAGTAGAGAAGTGATCTCTTCTTTTGGTGAACTAGCATGACTTGTCGCACAGATGGCTGCTGACCTCTTGACTTCTACACAGTCTGGACTGATGTCTCCTACGTCTTCTTGTGGTGGCCAGTGCTCTTCTTTGCTTTCTAGAAACGCTGGGCCTAGCCACCACTCTTGCTGGTTTTTCAACTCTGACAGAGACTTTCCTCTTGAGCAGAGATCTGCCGGATTTTCTGAGCCTGGCACGAAGCGCCACTGATCTGGGCTTGTCGTGTCGTGAATCTCAGATACACGATTCGCCACAAATGTGTGGTATCGCCGACTTTCGTTCTTCAAAAACTGCAGCACCACTTGACTGTCTGTCCAGAAGACGATTCGCTTGAAGTTGTAGTTCATTTCCCTTTTGATAAGACTGGCTACTCTTGTTGACATGACGGCACCTTGCAGCTCAAGTCGGACTATCGACAGCTGTCGCAGAGGTGCGAGCCTAGTGCGAGCCATCACAAAGCGACTGTGATAGTAGCCGCTGGACAATACTCTGATGTATGCTACGGTACCGAACGCTAATTCGGAGGCGTCGCTGAACATGTGCAGCTCGTACTGAGCGTCAACTTCTTGTTCCGGCGCGCCATACCACCGTGGAACACATGCGTCCTCAACATGCTGAAGCTCTTCTTGCCAGCGTCTCCAGATATGTAGGGTTTCTCCTGTGATTCCTTCATCCCAGCCTAGCTTTCTTTCCCAGAGACTCTGGATCAGTTTCTTCGCCACTAGTGTGTAGGGCGCCACGATCCCTAAAGGATCAAACATAGACGCGACTTGCTTCAGGATTCCTCTCTTCGTCGGCGGCACCGCGACTACGCTACACTTGACGGCCAGGTAGTCGTCCTGCGGGGTCCATTTGCATCCTAAAACGCTGCAGTACGACTTGCCCGACGAGTCTATCTTCAAGACAGCTCTTTCATCAACCGGGACTTCAGCCAGCACCCTCTCCTCATTGCTCATCCACTTCGTGAGGCAAAACCCTCCTTTGGCGAGGATGCTGGAGACTTCTCTTTTCATATTGAGTGCAGCTTCACTGGAACATTCTGACTTGACGAAGTCATCCATGTAAAAGCTGGTCTGAACCGCTTTCTTGGCTGCTGTGGACTCTTCTGTGCCAGTGCAGCCGTCTTCTGCCGCTCTCTGTAGTACAAAATTTGCGATCGCTGGGCTGCACTTCGCGCCAAATATTGCTACTTGCATTTGGTACATATCAGGCTGTCGTGTGGTGTCAAGGTTTCGCCACCAGAAACTTAATGCTGGCTGGTCTTCCTGGCGAATCCTGATCTGGTGGAACATCTTCTTGATGTCTGCTACCATGGCAGTCTGTTCCTCTCTGAAGCGGAGCAAAATTCCAACCAGATTCTGCAGCATGTCCGGTCCCTTCATCAGCTCACTGTTCAGGGACACTCCCAGGTGTGTCGCTGCAGCATCAAAGACTACCCTCAGCTTGGGTTTATTGGGGTTTACTACCGCGTGATGTGGTAGAAGCCAGCGCTTTTTCAAACGCTGATCGGCTTCTTCTTGAGACAGCTTGCGTGCGTGCCCCGCTTCAACATAAGCTTGGAGCTCGGCTTCATACGCCTTAGCCTTTTCCGGGTTACGTAACAAGCCTTTCTCAAGGCTCTGAAGTCTTCTCATGGCTGATGCTCTGTTGTCAGGCATTCTCTGATCTTTGCCTTTCCAAAGAAGTCCTGCTTCGTATCGGTCTCCGCATTTCTTCACTGATGTATCTAGGAGACGCAATGCCCGCAGGTCTTCTGCTGAAGCTTCCCCTTTGAGCTCAACTTTCGTGCCAAATGAATCAGTCTTCCACCACTCTTCGACACACTCTCCGAGATGCCTGTCTTCTGTGTCCGCACGGTGGATGAACATCACCTCTCTGGTTTGAGGTGGGACGAAACCAGCGATCGTGCCGGTCAACGTCCAGCCAAATGCCGTGCGCACCGCCACCGGTTCTCCTGCTCGTCCAACTTTGGCTTCGCGTTGAAGAACGGCTTCAAGGACATTAGCGCCTAGAAGCACCTCCACTGTTCCCTGTGAGCAGTCAGGTATGTTTATGCCTTGTAGATGCTTCCAGTCATCTTTCAATCGTTTAGGAATGTGCTGTGCTCGGACGTTTACTCGCGGCACAGAGAACGCTTCAGGAACAAGGATCTTGCGGTCAACATCTTGACCTTCGCACAAAGGACTCAGAGTCAGCTGGACCCTTTCAGACCTCTTGGTACTTCCTCGTCCTTCAACATTTTCGATGCATAGCGACTGCGCTTCGCCTGAAATCTTCACATCTCTGATGATTGCTTCCGAGCATAAGCTGGTCTGAGATCCTGGATCTAGCAGGGCCAGCGTGTCTCTAAATCTTCCATCTTGGCCGTGCACTCGAACGGGAACTATCTGGAGAAGCGTCATTCCCTCTGCTGGTCGGTTTCCCGTTACTGCGGCTATGACTCTCTGGTCACCACCGTGAGGCCTTACACGGTGACTGCCGTGCAGCATCTTGTGGTGTTTCATCCTGCACCCGTCTATTCCACACTTCTTAGAAAAGACACAATTTCTGCTCATGTGGCCTTTCTTTAAGCAGATGAAGCACATTCCTGAGCTGAACACTAGCTCAGCTCGGCCATTGGCGTCTCGCGCTCTGAATGCTTCGCAGTCCTTCAAATGATGCTTCCCGCTGCAACACACACAAGTGTCAGAATCGAGTGAGGCTGTAGTGTTTGTAGCCAGTGTCGCCAGTGTCTTTTCTTTTGTCTTTTGATGTTGTGCTCCAGTTGCTGGTCTGGACTGCCAGGCGCGTTTTTTGACTTGATCAGTGTCTTGAATTGTCACGGCAGTGAGCTTCTGAGAGATCCTCACTTGTTTTGTGAGCCACTGGTCGAAGTTGATCAATGTAGCTCGGGCCGGCTCCATTCCAACGACGTGTGCGCTCCAAACGCGCTTCATTTCTTGCGGCAACTTCTCCACTATTCTACGCAGGTTTTCTGTGCTTTGAAGGTCTCCTTCGTACTTCAGGTTCTGAAGAACTGTTACGGCAGAGTGAACAGCTGAGTGAAACCGTTCCAATCCTTGCAGATCTAGATCTGCTGGCGACGGGCATGCAAAGATAGCCTTCATTTTCGCCTGCACAATGTCCTCTTGTCTGCCAAAGCGGTTTTCTAGCGCGTGCAGCGCTTCTTCATAGAGAGTCCCTTCGTAGAGCATCCCACTGATCAGCTGCTGCGCCGGACCCGTTACTGCGTTTTGTAGATGCGCCATTTTTTCAGTGGAGTTTAAGGTTGCTTGATCGTGCACCAATGTTCGGAAGAGCGCGAACCATCTTGGCCACTCTCCCGGACTACCACTGAAGTTTGGCAGCGTGATTCTTGGGAGACTTCTTGCGAACAGAGATTCAGATTGCGTTGGGCTTGGCACAGGACGGGCGCTGGACGGCAGAATAGGCACATGCACTTCAGGGCTGTCATCTTCAGACTCCTTTTCAGCTGGGGAATCGCCTTCGGTTTGAGCTCCTTGCTCTTCAACTGCGGATGCCTCACCATCAAAATCCTTTCTGCGGTCCCAGCTGAGCTCACTCTCAGCAGCTGCGGTAAGGCGCGCTTCTAGCCTGGCTAACTCTTCGGCATCTTTAGCGGCTTGAAGCTCATTTTTTCTTCGCAACTCTTGTTCTTCCCTTTCTCTCAGGTGTCGCCGCTCCAGAAGCTTACGTTCCTTTTCTTTCACTTGAAAAGCAATGTCAGCGCTTCGAGCAGCTAACGAGCTGCTGGACTGGTGAGACTGAATTGAGCCCGACACTATAGATGGTGTTTCACCTTGTCTGGATTTCAAATATTCTCGTATGCATTGATATGCTTCGTCGTGTTGCTGCTCTGCAACCTTCATGTAATCGACCGCTTCTTGAACAAGTGCTTCATCTTCTGCTATTGCTTCTTTGAGCTCTTCGTTCACTTCTTCTAAAGACTCAAGTGCAGCGTCCAGCTCCTTAAGCATGTCGACCAGCTGCGTCCTAGAGCCTCTATTTTCAATCATTACTAGGGCTCGTCTTCTTACTCTGGTGAGATTTGACAGCATCCTCCCACGCTTCCTTTTGAAATCAGATGCTGACATGATTGGTGCAAATAAATCAGTGTATCTTAATCAAAGTTGATAACTTGAATTCAGACGCTACATTGGTTTGCATCATGCTACTTTATATCTGAGCAGCTTCTCTTAAACTTATGCTGTGCAGTTCATCTTAGAGTTTTGCAAACATTTTGGAACTGTCACCGTTAGCCGTTAAAAAATATGAAACTTAATGCCGCAAATGCACTTTCGAAATCAATGTTTATTTTGGTACAGGCTTGATCCACTTCGCTCCTTGATCGAAATGAAAAACACCGTTCCAAAAGTCGCACATTGCGGCTAACGAGAGAAAATAAACTAAGAAATAAGTTGAAACATAAAGATAAACCTTTCTTGAATGTCACTTTGACACTTGTTAATCAGTGAATGCATCGTCCTTGGCTTTGCATATTTACTTTCACTGTTTCAGAATGAGCTATAATAATGACCCCGTTTCAATCAGTTTCTCATCCAAAAGCCCCCTTTTCCTTAATTTTCTAAGCACAAAAATATGACAACAATTTCGTTGCTAGGCAACAAACGCACAGTACCCCCCGGTCGCGACAGGCCCAAATGGGCAAACTTTACTACACTTTGTTAACTGACCCGACACCTATCTGGGCTGGATGCGGGCAGCATGTGGGCAGACTGGGCACCAACAAGCTGGGCACACCCATCCGGGGCCCACATGGGGCCCAAATGGGCAAACCTTACTACAAAACTTTGTTAACTGACCCGACACCTATCTGGGCTGGATGCGGGCAGCATGTGGGCAGACTGGGCACCAACAAACTGGGCAGTCACCCATCCGGGGCCCACGTGGGGCCCAAATGGGCAAACCCCAGCCAGCATGCCCATGTGGGCCCCACATGGGCAGTTGATGGGCATGGTGGGCTAGGTGGGCCATGGGCTAGAGATGGGCAAATATGTGGGCTGCATGTGGGCCCCACATGGGCTGCCCACATATTTTTTGGCAGGCATAATGCTTGATAATGAGATTGCTTGCACACGTACGAGGGCATATCCAGGAATTTTGGGGAACACAGGCATTCACGCGGTGTTCCTGTATGGTGGGCTTAACATGGGCACTGCGTGGGCAGCCCATGTAGTGGGGTGTAGGTGACTGGATGTGGGCAGCCCATTATTTATTTTTTCACTGTCCAATGTGTATGATATTACAAGAAAAAAGAACTCGCTGTTTAGTCTCATGCCTCCAAAATACACTTCGACGTCGTGAGGAAGTCGCATAGTTGATGTTTGTGAGACCAGCTACGGCTGATATTGGACAGTCAATGTTGTGATTGTGTCGTATGGTTGTGTCGCCTGAGCCCGCCCCTGCGCGGGCGACCCGCCGGCGGAGCTCGGCCCACCGGACGGGGCCTGGGGCCGCCTCTGCACCGCCCGGGGCGGTGACCGGCCGACCGGCTGGCGGGGCTGCGGCGTCTGGGCGGGCCAGTTGGCGTTGAGACTCTGAGTGGTGTGCGTGTCCAATAAAGCCTTAATTCGGGCGGAACCGACACATGGCGCGGTCGGTATTAGCTCGAACCCGCCCATAGTGAGTACAAAGTGCGATTAACGAAAGTGAAAGGAAGCAGGAATGCGTAGCCGTGGCGGCCGCGCCGCAACCACGACCGCGTTCGAGTCTCTTCGGAGAGGCGCGCCCGCAGCGACGCCAGCTTGAGCTGTATCGCTAGTTGGTCGAGTCGCAGCTGTGACATCAGGACGTAGTCGTCCCATCTCTCCTTCCAGAGGTAGAAGGCGTCACTGCGGTCGGTGGAGATGTCCAGTCGGTCAGGCCGGATCGGCTGCAGGCTCGTCATACCACAGCGATTACGAAGGACTGTTCTAGAAGCCCTCCACGCCAGCCACCTGGGGAAGGAGAAAACGAAGGCCCGCGCAAGACAGATCGTCTACTGGCCCGGGATCTACCGGGATGTGGAAAATGTCACCCGCTGCTGTACCAGCTGCCAGGGAGATCTACCCGCTCAGCAGCAAGAGACCATGATGAGGAGACCGCCAGCGGAAAGGCCGTTCGAACTACACATCGACTTTGCCGATCACGCCGGCAGGAAGTACCTCGTGGCAGTGGACAGATACTCCGGGTGGCTGTTTGTCGCCGACCTCGGTGTAAGCGCCCCCGCTTACACCGGTCCGAAGGACGATAGCAGGCGTCATGACGAGCGCACTCGCTACGCGACTTAGCGTAAATGGACGGCACGGGAAAAGGGCTTTCGGCGGTACCCGGCTTTTTGATGTCGTGTTCAGTAAGTAATGGTTTTATCTCTTTATTTAATTGCCCAACTCCCTTGGACACCTGGTAGCGGATGTCAGAATAACAGCAGCACTCCCATTCATATGTTATTTCATGTGTCGTCAATTACTGTCCGATTAGCGAATTCCAAGCAGCCGACTTATAAAGCACTAATGTCCTTTGTGTCCATCATAATCGGTCTAAATCGGACCTTGTATGTTTATTCTGCATCAGATTATTTCCTGCAAAAAAAATATCTTAAGTTCATTTCTCAATTAATTCAAGTCAAATCAGATGATGTTACTTTTAATGCAGGTAATACAGAATCATGGTAGAACACAGCACGGGCAATACACAATTCGCTTATGTGTCTGCACCTTTTACATTGCTGGTGCTTATTTTACAGGAGCCGTGCGGCGGAACGGGCTTACCCAGGACACCAACAACGGCCAGCTGGAGGTGGCGCCACGAAAGTGGTTTACGGGTGCCAGGAACCGCGACGGAGGCCGCCAGGAGAGGACACTAGCTGGAGTTTAAAGGGACCCTCCCACCTTCAAAAAAGTTAATGAATTGGCATGAAAGTGATGTCGCTCGGTTCAGAAAGAGCAAAAATGAATACCGTAAACCGGGGTGAGTTGATATGGGGTGGTGAGTTGATATAAATTGCTCGAAAAATGTTAAAATGTGTGCTGCTCATCCATTTGTAAACCAATTTTTAGTTTTATTTTTCTGTGAAGTGAAGCAACCAATAAGTGATGCATATAGCTGAGAAAGGCATGCATGTGGTGCAGTGCCTTCTTAACACATTACTTTTTCCAAAGTCCTTTTTTTCTTCTGATTTTGAAACTAAGGAAAAGTCCCCACCCTACAGCAAAGACGGTGGATATTCATGAAACAACATGCACTGGGAAAGAAACTACCATCAATTTACTGTTGATCCCAGGTAGTTTTGGGTTTCACCTATAACAACGCTTTTTTATAATTTTAAGAAAAGTGACAGGTGGTGAGTTGATATGCCACCAGGTGGTGAGTTGATATGCATGATAAAAGCTGATACCAGGCTGGTAGGCATGCAAATTAGCATGAAATATGGGTCTGCAGGTAAGACAAAGTCAATTAGACCAACTCTTCTCCTTTTCTTTCCCCACATCATTCCATCAACCCCAAAAGCTTTAGTTTTTTTTCTGAATGCTTGAGACGAGGCCTGTTAGTATCACTGATGTTAGTTGTCGGACTTTCGTCCCCGTCTTGAGTTGAGATGTTAGTTTCACAACGTTTCAGCCAGTAGCTTCTCCGGCCGTAGTCAAGCCTGCCTCGATAGTGGAGTGGTTACAACCGTGGACCATCACCGGGGAAACCCGAGTTCGATTCCCGCTGACTACAGGAGCTTTCGAACTGTTTGACGCGTACGGCGCAACGCCACCAACATCCAGGTCCTTGAGGGTCAAAGAACACCTGACGAGTGACGACGGCCGGAGAGTAACTGGCCGAAACGTTATGAAACTGAATCTCAACTCAAGACGGGGACGAAGGTCCGACAACT